TGTTCCTTTTAAATCTCAAATCCATTACCTTACATAAAACTAAATGCCTTTCGCTTCAAGATATGTCGATGTCTTACTTACAGTCTCTTCCTTCTCCTTCTGTTAGTATGAAGCTCCAGATCAGTTTTTTCTTTTCCCTTTTTACAGGTAATTGATGAATTAGTAGTTATTTACTCGTCTCTGTAAGAATTAAGAAACAAACTGTTGAATGTATATCGATTTTGTTCTTTTTTTAAATGACAACTTCGTTTTCTCGTTTCATTTCCAGCTTTCCTCTATCAAACAGGCATCGTTGGTTCTGTGGTTGTACCTGCAACCAGTTGCTATGCTCTTGACAATTCTAGCCACATTCATGATTTTGTATCCTCCTCAACTAACTGCAATTTGGAATTAAATTCTGTATTACTTGGTGACAAAAAAAAGTTTGTTTTCTCTAACATATTATACAGAGTAGCTGGTTTGGACACCCTATTGAGTATGATGGAGTGGTAATTTCCTTTTGTACATATTGACCTTGATATCATTCTAGTTGTTTTAATTTGGGATAGTTTCTTTTGTACATATTGATCTTGTTTTCATTGTATTTAGGATACTGATTATGCAATACGATTCTGCAAAGATGTGGAAACAAGATCACAACCGGTGACTCATCATACTTTGTTTAATGATTAAAATGTATTATACTTATTATAAACATGATGGCAAAATTGTAAATGTGTGAGCTTACTGCAGGGGTATGTTGCTTTTGGCAGATTTGATGACTTCAATTATTTTGTTGCTGGTTCAGGACGTTATGATTTTGTTCAAGTAAGCTGAATTTGAGAATCTTTATATCTCATTCATGAAATTTTGTTATTCAATATGTTTGATTAATAATAGTGGTTTTTTTTATGCATTAGGAATTTTATAATGGTGATCTTCAACACTGTGAATTAAGTCTTGACAAAAGGGGGCGTACAGCTCAAGTAAACATCATATGTGGTGATTGCCCAAATGGGCGTTGCAAAGGTATGTGAGTTTTTTTTTTTTTTTCTCTGAATTTAAAACTTTTTAAATGTTCTAAAGATATTTGCATGTTTTTTAAATAAAAAAATTGTACCCAATTCTCAGGTGGACTTGAATGTGTATGCAATGTTACACTTGAGTCAGATTGCAGGTTTTCTCTAGCAAAACTTGTGTTTTTCATTGGCACTAATTTTTTCACTCCTACATGCTAATATATTTTTTTTTTTATTAATTTCTAATATTTGAATGCAGAATTATTGTTGAACTTGCAATTCCATGTGAGAAACCAGGTTTACGAGTGTTTGAAGGATTCACAGTGGGTTTTCATCCAAGGTCATGGGAAATTGTAAGATACTGTATTATATTCTATAAATCATATGATTGATTTTAAAGTTATGTTGGAAAAATTACTATTATACCCTTGACTCGCTGCTTAACTCCTCATAGGTTTACAATGGCATGACTCAAATCGGTTACGAAAAGGCTTATAAGGATTACAGGTGTGAGAAGTAGATGTCCTTCCATTTTTTGGTTCTTAAATTCTAGTAAATTACTATTTTACCCTTTGTTTACTTTATTGCAGGTTTGATACAGACCAGAGTTATGTATCACTCTATATGACAGCAATTGCATCCCTTTCACACTTAGTAAAAAAACCATCCACAAATGTATATATATACTCATATCTACCCACTTTCTTTTGTTTCCATTGATTGGATTCTATTTTAATTTAATTTTTTAATTGTTTGTAATTTTTAAGGTTTCTCCAGAGACCGGTTTGGAGGTTACTTTGTCTGGTTCAGGGGCAACCGGGACTCCGCCTACAACTTTGTCTCCAACATTGTTGAACATCGATTGGAGATGTACAATTATTTTATATATATATATATATATATATATATATATATATATATATATATATATATATATATATATATATTATCTATTATTCTATATTTCATCATGACTCAATTTTTTATAAAATTTCAGGTGAAAAAACCAGTGAGGATCCATATGAGGTTCATATAACTATCCCAGTGGAGGGTTATGATCCTATTCAGTTTACTCTTACAAAAATGTGCGGTAATACTCAATTTCTTATCTGTTTGACCAAAATGTCTAAAATGCCCCTCCCTCAATAGTGGCGTCATCTGATGCATGATTTTTCATAACATTGCAGAATCTAGGCAAAATAAAGGAGGGGATTCTACTAAAGGATGGGCTCTATTTGGAATTTTTTCCTGTGTGTATGTGAATTTAATTATCTCTATTTACACAGCACTTATACCTTTAACAAATTGCATATTTCAAAGGGCAAAATTACTTTTTTAGTGTTATTAATGCAAAACACATTGTAAATGGAGCAGATTCGTTGTCATTTCAATACTATTCTGCTGTGGTGGCTTTGTTTACAAGACTCGAGTACAAAAACAGGTAGGATACATCATATGTGTCTAATTTCGTCTTTTTATAAAAATAGAAACATTATTTTGTTTATTTTTCTGATGAAAATTTATAAACTTTTGTTGATTAATGCAGCATGGGATTGATGCGTTGCCGGGCATGACAATTTTATCTGCATGTTTGGAGACTGTAAGTGAATAATTTTATACATATAAAAGAAAATGAAAAAATAAAATAAAATAAAAAAGTTTCATATTTTTTGACACAAAATAAGATTAAAAAATCAGGTGAGTGGTGTTGGAGGGGGGTCCGGGTCAGGGTACCTTCGGGTGGATGATCCGAATGATGTATTTACAAGTCAAGCTTCATGGACACGTGAGCCTACTGAAGTGGCTTCAGGATCTTCAAGAACAAGTGAGAGAAAATATGGGACGTAATTACCCTTTTGGCCTATTCATGGTGATATACAATGGAAGGCGTTTCTTTTTCCTATTTTGCCCTCCAACCAGATTCTAGTGTTGTTCCCCACGAGAGTCAGAGCATTGGATCTACATGTGCGTGTGTTTCTTGACTCTATTTGTTGTGACAAAATTGCATTTATATTGTTTGGGAATAATCCTATGTGGGATCATGTTCATGGAGTTTGAACTTATAGAGTTATAGTGCTTTATGTTGTTTACATATCAAAGAAGCAACCATGTTTGGAGTTTTAGTTGATTGTGTATGTTTCAGGATTGTAGTTTAAATGATAGGTTTGTTGAGATTGTACTCTTTCTTAGTTATAAAAAAAATAGGTTTGATTAGAAAATTTTTTTATCAAACAAAGAGAAATTAAATACGAAGATGTGGTTTCAAGTTGGGTTAATGACTTATAAATTATAAAAATAATAAAATTTATCGTCATTTATATTTTTTTTGTACATGTTTAATCATTTATATATAATTTTTGTACACATATGACAATTAACCTTGTTTTTTGTACACAAACAACTATTAAACTTTTTTCTTTATTCAAGTATGACTATATTAGACTTGATGTTCATAAGTGTACAAAAAAAACTTAAGAAACAAAATACCTACAATTTCTTTCTAATGGTCATGTGTACCAAAAAATTTAAATATAATTATACAAACAAATTTAAATGAGTGAATATGTACATGAGATGAAGTTTATTAATCTTATAAGTCATTAACCATTTCAAGTTAGAACATAAACTGAAGACAAAGATGAAAATATGTGGTTTCGGTGCACATGGTTTTGATGCACATGTCATTTTAGCCTTGATTCAGTCCAGTGGAATCAAAATGGTTAGAACCAAGAACAATATTAAGCTATTTGATGTAATCGGAAACCGTACCGTATAATGTAGGATCGGTCCGGTTTGATTTGGTCTAGGTGGTGCATTTACTCATCCCAAGTAAAATCATTGATACTAGATAGAAAATATAAAATTACATAAAAATACATTTAAAGTTATAATTATAAACGAGTTTACACCAAATTTGTTAACTAACTATCTCAAATATCTATAAAAATCGATTTATGTATTTATTACATCAAGAAGTAGTCATCTTAAAAATTGTTGTTAATTATTCTCTTATTTCTCTATAAATGTATTTTTTTAACGACCTTTCTATGATTTATAACTTTTTTTTAATTATGTTTTTGACAAAAAGAAATTTACAAAAAATAATTACTACTAGTTTATATTTACAAATTTGTAAAATGAATATATAAAAAAAATGATTTTTTACATGTTTATAATCTTACAATTTTAAAAATAAATATATATAAAGTAATTTAGAAAATGAATTTGAAAACAAAATACTAATTTGTACAAATTAAAAATCTTTAATAAAGTTATTAAATTATATAACAATTTTTCTTAAAAAACTACATTATAAGAAACTCAAAAAACAAATTAACTTATAAATATCATACATAAATACTCACAAGTTTTATCAAAACACTTTTGACTTAACGATACAGTGTGCGGCTCCATAATGTTAGATGGTTATTTAAACCATAGTGATATTAAAAGTAAAATAGAAACTTCTTTGACACATAACTTTTGGAAGCTTCCGGTAGTAGCGTTTAACAAAAAAAAAGTTTTGTTTGTCGGTAGAAGTTTCTAGATTTTAATTAAAACGAATAGCTTCAAATTCAAAAATTATTTCAAGCAATGTTTAACAAAAAAGATCTTTTATAATCTTGCAAATTAATTTCATTTTTTTTAAATCAATGACATATTTTAAATAAATCTGTTTATATAATTTTACGTATTTTAAAAATATCCAACTACTTTTATCATATACTCCTATGTAAATAAAAACTACATACTTTTTTATAAACGCCATTTTAACGGTTTAAAAAAATAATTCAGTAACAAATAAGAGATCAAAAAGTACCCAAAGATCCCCTGCTTTTTATCAGAAATACAAAGTGCCCCCTTTAACTTTTATATTCCCTAATGCAAATCTTGAAAACCTATCGCCGTCGGACTGTAAATCTTGTCTAAAACCCTGCATTCCTGGTTTTTCATTTTTCCCATCAATATTTTCCATGATCACGCAAGAATAAGGTTATTAACATGAGGAAATACTACTGCCAACGACTTTCCCAATCCCTCTCACGTCACCAATCTCGTTTATTAGGGTTTCGAAGCTTCAATTTGATTGAATCTCATCCCCCACAATGTACCAATTTGCATACCATCCGAGGATTCTGCGCTTCTCCACAACAATCAAATTCAAACCCTTCAACGCCGTCCAGTCGCGTCTCGGACATCGTTAACGAGCTAATGAATTTAACGTTGCTCGAATCCGCAGACTTGACTGAGGTTATGAGGAAGAAAATGGGTATAAATGAGATGCCGGTTATGGCGGTGATGATGCCCGGCATGGGGCTGAAGACCGGAATGAAAGGAGGCGCCGGCGGTTCGGTGAAAGGTGGGGAAGAGAAGGCGGCGGAGAAGACAGCGTTTGATTTGAAACTTGAAGGTGGATTTGACGCTGGGTCGAAGATTAAGATCATTAAGGAAGTGAGAACATTTACTGATCTGGGTTTGAAGGAGGCTAAAGAATTAGTGGAGAAAGCTCCTACCTTGTTGAAGAAAGGGGTACCAAAAGAGGAAGCTGAGAAGATTATTGAGAAAATGAAGGCAATTGGGGCTAAAGTCATTATGGAATGAGGTAATTGTATTTGAAATCCTTTAGAGTATCAATTAATTAGCTGATATCCTGTTCTTTCATATGTATGATCTTGAACTGATGTTTAAGATGTCAGAAGTGTTTTTGAACCTTTGAGTTAATGTTGATTACACATCACACATATTGCTGCAAACAGAACAATCTTGTGGTAAAATCAATTTTAAACTTCCGTTTTGAAGATACTAATCTTGAATTAAATGTTAAGTTGCAACTCGTTTATTTGATTTTGAATCACATGAACATATGGTTTTTTCATGTTTTAGATCAGAGTTATTTTCTGTACATGCTGTTTAGTTCAATACTACTGGTTTAATTTCATTTTAGTTGAATGGAGTTGACTGTACTTGTATTTGACATAACTAAAATTGACTTAACTCATTATGTCATTGTGTCCAGATTAAGTCAAAAAGAAACAACCATGTATAGCTGAATCCATATTAAGTGCTTAACACACTAAGCCAGTTAAGTTAAAAAGAAACAGCCCCTTAATCCGATAAGTTATATATGAGTGCTTCTTTTTGAATTTATGCAGGAAAAACAATTTAACAGATTTTTTTTGGAAATGAGACTTTCCCCATGAAATCCTAACCTTTTACAAACTTTCCGTGAATTTATTTTTCCCTTCCATTTTCCCAAGTGTGCCAAAAATATTTTTAATCATCCTTTATCCAAACAACAGTTTAAGCCAGATAGCACTTAATAGGGAAAAAAGAACAGGTTTCTCTATATGTTGATAACTAGCAATCGTTATTTTAATATTGTTTTTTAATTTCTTTTTCACACGAGTAACAAGAAATCATAATCATTTGCTCTTTTCTCATATTCAGGTAACTTTGGAGATCATGGCAGAGTTTCTTAACCTCATACGCATACTTATGTTCTTTGTAGAAGTGTTCATTCATATTTCTATGCCAAAAAAGCACCATTTAAGCTTTTAAGTTTTGGTACACTGGTATCATAGGAGCTGAAAAGATCATTTACCTTTCTCTTTTTAATATTTTTCATCACAAAATAATTGTATCAGAGATTTGTGATCCAGATTTTGAACAATTTGTGCATCATCATCGCATGTGCTAGTAAAATAGTCTTCATTTCTCACCTGGAAAAAAACAATCCCGATTGATCTTCTCAAGCTTGTTTTTGTGTTTTTATTTAATAAAATTTTATTTTAAGTAAAATATCATGCAAAACATGAAAACAAGTTGTATATTACATTTTTTTCATAAATAAAATCAAATGAAATTCAAGTGATGAAACCTCCAAGTACAAAATTTGAAGAGTTGGTCCAAAATTGATCAAAAGAAGCAAGTATATAATAAGATAACACAAAGTAACTATTTTTTTTTAACAAATTTTTATCACAAATCACAATGACCAAATATATTTTGCAAAATTGCTTTTTCTTGTATCATAATTTTTCCGGAAAAAACCCAAAACCAGTTTTACTATACAGAATTTTATTTACATATAAAAAAAAACCATATGATATACCTGATCTAAAACATATTTAACAATTAACATATGATATACCTGTTACTAGCATGAGACAAGCTTTGACTCAATTAACCATTATCATAAAACCTTAAAATGTTTTTTTAGGAATAATGGAATTCTATTATAAATATATAATTATTTTAAGATAAATATTATAAATATAAAAATCGTTTCGCGTTACACAGTTTTCTCATTTTTTTGATTAAATCAGATTTGAAATTCCATTACCAAAAGTGGATCCGTATAGACGGGATCTTGTATGCTCTTCAAACAAACAGGTCGGTGTAACATTACGTACTGCCATTTCTTCTCCCTCCATAAACACCTAAAGTTGCATACTACTAACGCTAACTGTCGTCGGCAAAACTAAATTATGACTCAGTCGACGGATTGGCGATGGGAGAACGCCACCGCGGGATCCGTTGCCGGTCTTGCTACCGTCACGTTTTCTCATCCGCTCGATGTTGTCCGGACTAGATTCCAAGGTGCGTAAATGTTGATTTACTCAGATTGATCGTGTCTACTTTCATACTCTAATAACAAGTTTATTCTCTCTGTATATATATTTTTTCGTTGATTTTATTCGATTTAACAGTTAATGATGGTCGGAACCCTAACCTTCCGACCTACAAGCACACTCCTCATGCTCTCTTCACCATTGGTCGATCAGAGGTGCGTTTATTTAACACTATTCGTTGTTGCTAAATTTCAATTTCTCCTGTTGATGCAACGGGCGTTTCATTGCTCATTTATTGTAAACTTACACTAGGAAAGGAGTTTGATAATTATGTTGCGTTTTGTTTCGTGCATATGGTGATTTGATACAATTTAGTGTTTCAAAAGCGAACTTAATGATTTTTAATTATTGTTGGTCTCAGTTCCAGATACAGATTAAAGCAATAAGAAGGAAGCATGATGTATGATTGGTATGATAGGGTTTGGTTTTTACATACTACTTTGTATGAAAGTCCATTCTCTAATCTCTAGTGCTGATGACCACATAGCTAACATGATTATTTCTCATGTTAATAAGCATTTATACAGATCGAGTCAACCCTGGCTTAACTTCTAATTTAATTTAATTTGGTAATAACAAATCAAGTACCATAAGCAGTGTTCTACACCCAACTCCATTGATTTTTATTAGAATCAGCAAGATATGCTTAACTACTCTGTCTGGAATCATTTAACTCAACATAAAATCTCATACCAATACAAACATCTCGTTATGTTGCCCTGTTTAGTATTCATGCTGCTGTAATTATTGAATTGAATTACTCTTATAACTAGATATGATATTGTATTCATCATTCCAACTAGAATTTTATTACATATCCATGATACCTTTGGAAGTCTTTCACATGTTCTGTTTAATGTTGTCTTTTATGCTAGTAATTATATGGTTACCATTTTTTCAGGGTCTCAGAGGGCTCTATTCTGGCTTTTGCCCTGCAGTGCTAGGCTCAACTATCTCATGGGGTCTATACTTCTTTTTGTAAGTGAAGTATTGAGCCCTGCAGTACTTAAGCTATACTTAATTATTCTATTGAAGGTTTTATAATAGGACACCATAGTGCATACATAGTGCATATGTTTCCATGCTTAGAGAGTTGTATTATTTTCTCTTTTATTGAATATTGTTGGAGGGTATTTTAGAATCATGCATATCCAACTTGTTGACATATATACCCTTTTGTTGAATAGCTATAACAGAGCCAAACAAAGGTACCTGAAAAATCAACAGGAAACAACTGTCCATATTCATCTTGCATCAGCTGCTGAAGCTGGAGGATTGGTTAGTTTCTTTCACTTTTTTTTTTTTGGCTTATTATATATCATTTCATACATGTAATATGTATAGGTTGTAATTAATATTATTGTTACTTTTTTTTTTTCAGGTGTGTCTTTTCACGAATCCTATCTGGCTGGTGAAAACACGATTACAACTTCAAACTCCTCAAAACACTCGCGCATATACTGGCTTTGCTGGTATATTGAATTCCCATCCTTCCATTCCTTTTTTAATAACTAAAAAGACAAAATTACCCTCACTGTGTTGTTTCGTTATTTAGATGCTTTGAAAACGATACTGAAAGATGAAGGATGGAGGGCGTTATACAAAGGGCTTTTACCGGGTCTTTTTCTGGTTAGATTTGGTACTGTTATCTCTGTTCAAAAATGTTAGAATAGAAGAACATAATTGTTGGTCTTGAATATTCGAAAATAAGTTTTTTTTTAATAAATAAAAAAAAACAGGTGACGCATGGTGCCATTCAGTTTACAGCATATGAGGAGCTTCGTAAGCTTTTGGTTGATCGAAGGGATAGACAAATGGCTTCCATTACTACTGCTGCTGATTTATTAGCAAGTTTTCGTAAGAAATTGCGTGACTTAAGGGATAAACAAAGAGGCTTGAGTTCTTACACTCCTGAGTCATTGGTAATTTCAGAGTAATTCATAATATGATTATTTAATGTAGGTGATTTATTCGTAAATTTTGATAATAATGATAATAACTTTTGTGACAGACGACAGTTGATTACGCAGTTTTAGGAGCTTCCTCGAAACTGGCTGCCAGCCTGGCAACATATCCGTTTCAGGTCATTCGCTCTCGCTTGCAGGTAGTATATAGTTAGCATGATTAAATTTTGAATTTTTTTTTTAAATGATTTTGAATTGTACGTACTTACTGTAGCAACGGCCCATGGATGGGGTTCCAAGATACATGGACAGCTGGCATGCCGTGAAGCAAACTGCTCGGTCAGTTTTATCTTTATCCTTTTTTTGAAAAATCTTAATTACTATTATGATTTACTAGTATTAAATATGGGTGGGTTGCTGTAGGTTAGAAGGCGTACGAGGTTTTTACAGAGGTATAACAGCAAACCTTTTGAAAAACCTGCCTGCAGCTTCAATAACTTTCATTGTGTATGAAAACGTTCTGCATCTGCTAAAACTTGCAAAGACAACAAGCGAAAGGGCAAACAACTGACTGACACACATGTATTTATTTTATGGTACTACTTTTGGGATAAAAACAACAATTCATTCAATGCGCTTTGCTTTCTTTATCATTTTTTTTTTTTTAGTTTTCAAGGAATGTACATGTAGGCAAATGTAGTTGGATATCGCTGTTATTGTCTGTCAATCTTGAGGTCAAGAACAAACTTCTTTGAATCATTCATTCATTATTAGCATTCAAAAATAGAAGGAAGGGGGGCAAACAACATAACTAGTCTTCCAATCTCATCACACGCACGTGTGTGTAAGCAAACCCAAAGCCCAACTTTTATGAAATGTTAGTAATAAAAGTATAGCATAAATAAACGATCATGGTATAGATTTGATAAAATGTGTATAATGAAAGCATCCTTTGGAACAGCCAGCCCAGAGCCAGAAGAAGGTGTTCTTTCTGACCGAGTAAAATAACCAAGAAATGTGACCTGGCTTTCGTTTACCACTTTACAGCTACATCCATCACATTGAGATTTTCATTAAACTTTATCATCATGAAACCACCATCTTGTTTCTTTAGGAGATCTACCATTTCTACAGTTTCTAACATACCGATCATTATCTTCTGGTCTTTCCTGCATCCATAGGTTAAGTGTTTGTGTTATCAGTTATCACTAAAACAATACAAAATATGTGTTTTTTTTTTTTGGAAGAAAAGAAAACGAACCTTGACTGTTGAACTTGAAAGCATGGACAGAATACTGATACACACAGAGCTAACAGTCATGGCTGGTGACCATGAGTCATATAAAATATCTACAAAACAAGCAGTTAAAAAATATTAACAAAAATTGCATCATGGACATGAATAATAATTACTTTACCTAAACAAATATGGCCATTGCTATAGATGTGTGGGTGTAAAGGAGCTGGATGCAAAAATATCACCTGTATCCTTCCACCAAACAATCCATAACTAACATAAGCTAAGATGAAGGAAGTAAAACACATAATTTACTTAATAAATTCAAGATTTCAGACACAGACCTGAGGTGCTTCCATAGGATAATTCTCAGGAAAATCAACTTGGAGTTGATACTTTTCATTTGCATAAATTGTCCCCTGAGCTCCATACACTTCAATCACCCACCTTTAAACAAGAAAATGTTGAATGTAAAAATAGTTACAAAATAGTTGGTTGTGTCGAAAAGGGATTATAAGTTTTTCAGACGTAGTTATTTGAAAACAATAACTCTCACATATCATATGTTGAAAAAACATGATTTTTCTTTGATGCAACACATCACATGGGTTTTCACCAACTTTGGACACCATTACATATGGACACATTTTTTTGTCCATTTATGTAGTATAGTGCAAAAAAAATGTGATCCATCATCATCATTGCAAGAAAGTTAGATTTTCCATCCTTTTGGTTCAACAAGATTCCTACTTTTGTCAAAACGAAAGGAAGTTCAAACGATTTCCATATTCTCAGAGGTTGCAATATGCCCAAGGAAGTAACAGATTGGAGGAATAAAATTGATTGTTTATAGTTATTAATGGTAGGTAGTTGCACATTAAAAGATCATAGAATTTCCTTAAATCAAAGTTGTCAGCAAATTTCATGGAGAATTTTAAGAAGAAAATCGATACTAGACAACGGATATGTGGAGAATTTTAACATGGTCGTGGAACCCTGAATCAAAATTTACAGTTATATCCCCTTTTATGAGTATACCACGAGGAAATAATATCGGAAATCACACTTTGGGATAGATAAACCCTAGAAAAATAATTGAAATGAAAAGTTAATAACCTCTGAAGGTTGTCGGTGACTTTGTGTATAAATCCAGAAGGAGGATTGACCTGCCACTCTACCAGCTCCTTTTGAAGTCTATTGCTAGCTATTTTGCTCAAAACCTAATTATTCAACATCAAATTTTAGTCAAACTTATAACTGATTGCAATTATGCTTCAATTTTCTGGAGACGAAGTCAGTGGAACGCGTAATTTAGATACGTATCTGTGTGAGTATACAATAAAGTCCCTAAAGTCGTGTACACACACGCATATACGTAGACAGAACAGATAAAGAAGTGTATGTTGAAAGATGGAGAGAGCACCTTGCGAGAAGAGGTGGAAGAGCCGGTCATGACGGGGGTGAACGGCAGAGCGAGCCACAAAGTCGGTAGTGATGCCGGAGAGAGAGAGAGAGAGAGAGAGAGAGAGATTGACTTTTGTAAGTGTGAGGGTGGTGATGCGGTGTTGTGAGTTGTGACAAATACATGGATGGCTGGCTGCTCAATTTTATTTACGAGTAATTACATAAATAGTCCCTCAGGTTGCTGGTATATTTCAATTTGTGGTGTTTGAATTGTTTATTTCACATTATTGGTTTTTAAGAATATATAAAGACAAAAGTGCAAGATTGGTCCTATAGTATTCAATTTTTTTTTTGAATATAATTCAAAAAGTTTCAACTCTGATACATTGAAAAATCGATTTTACCAATTTTATTTCTTTTTTCTATTTTCTTTATTTATTTTGGTATCTAAATAATAAAAAATAATAATAATAATAAAATCTCTCTCTCTCTCTCTCTCTCTCTCTCTCTCTCTCTCTCTCTCTCTCTCTCTCTCTCTCCTTTTTATCTTCCAGTCTTCAAGAAACAATCAAACTAAAACCAAAAACAAAATCATAGATCTTGGAGGGTTACAAGTGAGTCGGGTAACATAATTCAACAAAATATGGGCAACAAATGGAGGAGGAACTAACAATCTCGGTGCTACATTTTACGACCTAGTTGAGATCCCACAACGTTTTTCAAGTTTAGGCTCATATACAGAACCAAACAACATCCCATTTTCCGGTCATATTTTCGTCAGAAAAGATGTATCAAATGACTCCTCAAAACCCACTCTCAAATCACCAACGGATTACACATGTGTTTGGACCGGTGAGTCTTTAGATATCAAAAAAGATGCTAAAGCTTACATTTGGCTCCTAACAACACCACGACTAGAGGTGATGGTGGAGATCTACACTTCGGTGAGTGGATAGCAGTAAAACACAAAACAAAGAACACCCTCTCACTCTCGTCCTCTCTTTTCTCTCTTCGCTGTTCGACTATTGCCACTTGTATGTCGCCATCACCACCAATGCACCGCCATTGCAACAACATCTATGGTTCACAGATTTACACTCTGTTCGTAAATCTACACCCTAGAAAAACCTCATGGCTCTTCTCCATTCGCAAAATCTATTCATTTGGTGGGTTATGAAAAGATGTAAAAAATAAGGTAAAAATGTCATTTTCTTTTATGAATTCAAACCTCCAAATGCACTTTTAACCAAATATATATTTTGAGTTTTATTTCACATTCCCGATAGTTTATTACTACAAATGTATCACCTTCAACCAACACAAGTTTAAAGGGTTATTTATAGAAAAGTCCCAAAAAAAATTTAAAAATTTCGATAAAGTTCTAAAAGTTTTTTTTTTAACAGAAAAATCTAAATATTTTAATGTTTTGCCTAAATTAACGAAAAAAAAATCATTTTTTATATTTGAACAACAAATGATAGATTATCTGATTTTTTCAAAATATTGAGACTAATCTGTTCAATTTTTTTTAAGATTTTATTGAAATTTTTTAGAAAAATTTAGAACTTTCCTGTAAATAACCTTTAACTTCAAAATCACCATTAATGGAAATGGGTCAAACCCAAAATCGAAGTTAATGCATGCATCTTTGATGTTAAGTGCACCCACCAACTACCACCTCCTTGTACTTGTGAGTTATGACCATTTAAATCATTTTGGTTTACGTTTTCTTCTTACAAACTTTGTAATCGTTTTTTCAACAAAAAAATTAAAGCAAACACAACACCATGATTTTTTTTTTCGCTAAAATATTAAAGCAAGGTAATTGTTTTTTCAAAAAGAAAAATAATTATTTCAGGTAATGTTATGAGTCTTTCTGTATTTCATTAAGCGAATAAAAAACCTACCTAGAAAACATCAAAAACAAATAATTATTTACACAAACAATCTGAACTATTTTATATTTATTGAATATGAAGTAATTTACAAAAGAGTAGTTGTTAATTTAAATTAAAAAGTAGCACCACAATTAACAACATTGATATTAGGAGGATGAATTCAGGATAATAGGAGTGATTGTGGGATAACTTTGTAAGGATTGAGAATTCCATTAGGATCCAACATCTTCTTCATAGAAGCCATCAACTCTACCTACAAATTACATAACAAATTATCTTTTACTCTGTACAAGTATAGTAGCTGAATTGATAATGATACATGTCTGGTTAACTTGTTATATACATGATGTGTGTTTCTTTTTCACTGAATGAACTGTCTGAATATATCTGTATCTATTAAGCCCTGAACTATTAGGTCCATTAAGTCAAACAGATAATAATATTACAAAAGTAGACTTACAGTTGCAGTTGACTTGCTATAGTAAATCTTTTCAGCTTTCATAAGACCTAATCCATGTTCAGCACTAATACTCCCATGTTGCTTTGATGTCCATTCATACACAAATGGTTCAATTTCAGCCAAAATCTGTATTTTTTTTTTTTTGGTAACAATTAGAACAAAATATAATTTTATATTTTTGAAAAACAAAATAAAAAAAATCTTACAGCATCATCATACTGAGGAGCCGAAACATTCAAATGAAGGTTTCCATCTCCAAGGTGACCATATCCCACTACATTTGCTTTACCACCTATTTTTCGTTTTTAAAACCAAAATCAGCAAATCATAACAAATTGAGAAAAAAAAAAAAAGTTAAACTTTTACCTAAACGTATCCTCATTTCTTCAACAAGATCATACATTTTCTCAACAGGAATTGATAAATCATATTTATATACAGCTCCAGCTTTCTGCAATGCTTCTGGAATTCCCTCACGAATTTGCCAAAATGATGATGCCTGATTCAAATCCTGTGCTATGGCTCCATCACTTACTAAACCACTTTCCATTGCATCCACAAGAAACCCCTCAACCTTCTCTCTACAAAACAAAAATCAAATAATTATTATATATATAAATAATAAATAGGTAAAGTAAAATAGAAAGAAAAAAAAAAGTTACTTACTTGTCATTACATTCATTGCTGCCAGTTGTCTCGATAAGAACATAGAAGTTGTAAATTGAAGATGGTAATGGATTTCGGACACTGTCTAAATGATCAAGAACAAGATTCATTGCTTGTGCATCAAGAAACTCAAATGCAGATAATATTTCACCAAGTTTTCTTTTAGCTTGGAATACAAGTTTCTAATAGACACACAAAAAAAAAAGAATATAAGATTTTTTTTTTTTAAAAAGAGAATAAAAAGAAAAACAATGTTTTACCTGGCAACTGATATAATCTTGACAAGCAAGGAAAGCAATGTTTACAGAAGACAGCTTTGGAGGTGTTAATATGGAAACTTTTGTTATAATACCCAAAGACCCTTCACTTCCTGAAAATACATAGTACTAAATCGACTAAATATTTTGATATATTTATAAAATAAAAGTTTATTTTTATGTCATACCGATAAATAAATGCTTTAGGTCATAGCCTGTGTTGTCTTTTCGCAAAGTCCCAAGCATATCAATCACATTACCATTCGCCAAAACAACTTCAAGACCTGATTTTTTTTTTTTTTTTTTTTTAAATTATATAACTGTTTAATTCCAAAAATTTAAATACTTGACTAAAATGAAATGAGAAAAAAAAAAAAAGGCTTACCAAGAACAGTTCCATGAAGAGATCCATAACGTATAAGGCGTAATCCACCAGCATTAGTTGAAACATTTCCACCAATCTGACAGCTTCCTTTTGCACCTAAATCTAATGGCATAATAAACCTGAAACAAAATTTTAATTAAATATGTTTACACAAATATTATAACTTTTAATAATATTATAAAATTTAAAACTATTACCCTTGTTTGTCTAGGAAAGAGATTAGATTTTCCAGTATGCATCCTGCTTCACATACCAGTACACCACTCACCTGCAAAATTGTACAGCTTTAGTATATATTGATATTAGCAACCAACAAAATATGTGTGTGTTTTTAATAAAAAATGACCAAAAAGTCCTTTGGATTAGTAATATAAGAAGACTGACCTCCCTACCTCGTCAAAGGAAATGATATTATTCATGCGACGAGTATTTATAATCACCTGAAATTGATACAGTAAATCAAAAACTGGAACACAAGCAAACAATGAATCTAAGATGAAGGGATAGTAGTGTTAGTGTTAGTGTTAGTGTTACCTCATCAAATACAGGAACACTTCCTCCAACAAGACCTGTGTTTCCACCTTGAGGAACAACTGCCAAACATCTGGAATTGCAATACTTAAGAATTTGAGATAACTGCATGGAAACACACCCAAAGTGATAACTAACTGTATGTGATTAAAAGCAGTATAAGAAACAACTTTGGAAAAAGGAAAGATAATACAATTACAAACCTGATCAGTGTTCTCAGGTAGGAGCATAAGCTTACTTGAGCCTTTGTACTTATGCATCCAATCCGTGTTTGCAGTTTGTAGTTCTTCTTCGTCCTGAATTACGTTTTTCAAACCTAATTTGTTTTCGAAATAGATGATATCATCATGATTAATGGTTGAAAACAAGGGGTTTCGTTGAATTATGGTGGAAGTTGCTGAACCGAAAGTTCTGTGCTGGATTCCAGGAAGATTCTGTATGTGATTTAGGGAAGATTTCTGAAGAGCCCATAGAAAACGTGAAAGAAAACTCTGGAGAGGCGCAGTTCCACAATGATGCATAAAACCTGTGGAATTAGTATCAGATAATTCGCACTTTCCCCAATTCATTTGGATGTTCATTAATCCCGGTTACTAACTCATTAAGAAATATTACAAACACTAAACAACAGTTGTGATGTAAGACCTAAAAAGAGAATGTAAAACATTATTTCATGTCGATTGCGAAGTGAATTGGGATAATTATAAGCATAGGACATGAAAAAGAGGGGTGCATAGCTATAAGTGTAACTGTAGAGCGATACCTTACCTCGTGAACTTGAAGACGATCGGTGAAGTTCACCGAAATTAGTGACCAATCGGCGATGATCCAGAAATCTTTTAGAGGTGTGCTTCTTTTGGTTGAGTAGACGATAAGAAGCAGAAGCAGAAGCAGTAGCAGCAGCCATCCGCTTCTCCATTTTTGATTTTGCACTTGCTTGCCCCACTGGAACTCTGAAGCTTCAAAGTTGAATGGTTTGTTGGTTTTGCGAATGATGGATCAGCACTCCGTATATAAAATCTTATGACAATTTTATAACGGTAAATCTACCCAAAACTTTTTGGTTACATGTTGTCGTATGGATTATTTAAAAACAGTTTAATTATATAAGTTATTTAATTAATAGCTAAAATATTTTTTATAATAAAATCATTATATTCCCTAAAAAGTTGCATTTATAATCCAGACGATTGACTTCTTGTATCGTTGGTCCCTGTTTCATTGTTTTATTGCAATTTGGTCCTTCAGCTAACAATTTGTTACCTCGCCATGTTAACCCTCCTCATGTGTTACGAGGGTAAGCTTGTCTTTTCAACCTTTTATTTCTTTTTTCAATTTAAAATCAATAGCCGTCTAAAACTAAGTCTGTATTGTCATCATTGGTTAAGTCATTCGTTTAGTGGATTGAGATTATTATTGCTATTTATTATAACTCCCCAAGTTATTTTAATTTATCATTGTGTTTTTATATTTTGTTCGTACTAAAACATAACATATTTAAAAACTTCCAAATTCAAATATCGTAGTATCATTCTATTATAGAAATCAAAAGTAAAGTTTGGTTGTATTACATATTATCTTCTTTTAAAGTAATAACTGGACCTAATGATGTCCTTATTAAATACAATGTTCACTTTCAGTTACTAATTTTGTTGTGATTAGATGTTATATTAAGTGTGGGTTATTAATCACTAGTTTATAACCCGTGGAAATCACGGATACAAAAGTAATTGAACTTTTATAATAAAAACTCAAAATTATTAATCAATTATTTTAAATAAATTATTAATTAAGATATTTTTTTAGTTATATGAAATTATAATCATTGATTTAAATAAATATGTGAAATTATATCATTTTATAATTTGTATTAATTTTATTTTAATTTTTATTCTAATGTTATTAATTTAATGTAATTAGAGTGGTAAATTTAAATTTTGAAATTTAAAATGAAGAATCAATAGGTTGATAAATGACATGCATTAATTAGATGACATAATAGGGTGACACATGGTAAAAAGAGAATAACATATGCATTAATTAAGAAGCCTAATACAATGACACGTGTCTAAATGAGAATAAAACTATTCTTTTATTAGAATAGAGATGGTTAGATGTTATATTAAGTGTGGGTTATTAATCATGATTTTTGGACTGTGGATATCAATTACAATTGTTTACGTACTATTATAATTATGTCAAAGAAATTAAATAAACATATTAAAATATGCGATAAAACACCAAAAACAATATATGTTGTTAAAAAGTGATAATTTTGTAAAAGCAATAGGAAAATATATATACTAACATATTATAACCAAGAGAAACCAATATGTATATTGTTTGACAACTACCACTCATTTCATTAAACAATATGATGTTCATAAGTAATTAACACACATTGAAAAAAAAAAAAAAAAAAAAAAAAAAAACATTGTTGCTAAATTTCTCATTGTGTATACCTGGTGAGATATAGAAGAAAGTCCACCCTTGGCAAATCACCGGAATGATTTTCTGAAAATGTAACCAGAGTATGCTTTCAAAATCACAAAAAAACCCAAAATTGGGAAATTAAAATTGAGTAACCAGGATCGTCCATGAAGAGGAAGATAAAGGATAAGCATTGTTAGTATCTACCTGAAAATCCGATTGAATGAATCTAATACCCCGGGATAAATCTTCCAACAATTGAGCTCAAGAGCTCAGCCTGTTGTTACAAAGAGGAATCACAAAAAAATCTTAATTAAGAAAATTTGATAGCTATAACAACGAACAACTTATTAAATCGATCTAGATGTCATTTATGGGTGGTGCAATGGAATATCTATGTTTATCCGGAAACTCCTTTAGGAACTCTAATTTTACCTTTAAGGTGAAATTGTTATTGATCAATCATTAAAAAAGAAAATAAATTGGAATGGAGCATAAGAGAATGAAAATAAAACAAGAAAGAAACAAAAGGTATAGATCTAGATACCTGTAAAACAATGTTCAACAAATAGTTGTGAGCATGGTGCAGTTTTGGCCAAAACTGAACCGAAAACCGCAACTTCGGTTTTTTGAAGTTTAAAAACTGCACCGTTCGATTTTTATGTGGTTTTTTGTTTATTTTATTTATTTATTTATTTATTTATTTTGCGGTTTTTTGTTAGTTTTTTTATTTGGTTTTTGTTTTGCATTTTTACTAAAACTCAGTAACTCAACGAGTTACTTTGATTCGGATGAGGAATGTTAATCATTTATTGAAAAACTTTCTACAGAGATGAGGAGCGTCGTATTGAATCTCTTATATGAAATGTGAGAATGGTGAAAGTTTTATCTTAAAGGCGATGGGAGATACTCTTATAAGGCTCACAAAATTAAAGCTTAAATGATATCTTGGAGATGAACCGATACCACCACCTCTTGGTTTGAAATCAAATAACATAACTACTCATCCAACATGCTTCTAATGTTTGAATATAATACAAATTGATATTTTTTTCATAGGTACATGCGATAATATCAATTAATGTATTCATAAGAATTATACTATCATCACTAATACTCTTCATATTTAAATGTCAAAAAAGGTAATAAACATTATTTATTCTTGTAAATATCACTATATGCTTAAAAATATATAATCATCCTCTGATAAGATAGATATTTATATTTATAGAAATTTTAATTATCATGGGTTATTCAATCACAACTAGCATTTTAGCTAGGAAATTCTATTCCTGTGTAACTGTTCATCTATTGTAAAACATGTACTCTAAGTAAATCTCACTCAATGCTCATTTATATTCATCAATTATGTTCATCAAAGAGTCTGAAAACCCTAAGAATCCCGGTTTAAGTCCATATTGGACTAGGATTTCCTTATTGGGTCTAATGGACCAATAAACACCCAATTCAACTTTATTGGACTTAGAAGCCCTAATTGGATCCTAATTGGACATGATTCATAAATATAAAACATTTTGAACCATTTGGGTCTAGAATGATTTATTCTAACCCTAATGGGCCTTATTGGGCCATAACTAATCCAATTAACCTTAGTGAGCCATAAAGCCCATTCTTTTATTCTATTTGGGCCGTGAATGCTTCCAAGGACCCAATGGGCCGAAATTTTTTACGTTTAGCATCCAAAGATCCTAACTAAAGTTAATGATCCCAAACTACTCCACCCTTTATTCTTGGCCCAAAATCTCGGCCCATGTATAAAACAAAAAAAAAGGAAAAGAAGTGAAATGGGGGGTTGACTTTGGAGGTGCCACCTCCATATTGTTCAACATGTAACAATGTTAGATCCTCCATGCTTCCATGCTAGTCATCTCATCACTCTCTCCCCTCTCTTCTTCTACTACTCTCGGCCGAGAGCCAAAAACACACACACACACACACACTTGAAAATCCTCTCCAAACATCTCTAAAATCTTCTTCTTCTTTCATCAAAGATCTTAAGGTTTTGTTTGTGTTTCAAGAGTAATCTTCAAGGTTTCAACCTCTTGGTAAGTGTTTATAATATATAAACACATATTATCCATTTTAATGCTAAAAATCTTCTCTTACATAACCTTCTTTAATGTTCTAACTCATTAGAAGCCCCTAAGTTCGAAAACTACTCAAGGGAGTTTGCTAGGGCCAAAAATCACTTCATCTCTTTCCACTTCTTCTTCAAAAAACCGAAACATCAAGCAAATGTGAGTTCATAACCCCTTGTTTTTGGTTTTCATATGATTTTTGGGGGAGAATACAAGTAAAATGTGTAGATCTATGTGTTCTATGCATGTTTAGTGTGAATTCTTAGTTTATTTGGTAAAATTGTGTTAGATCATAGCAAATCTCAAAATCTTAAGTATTATTTAGCAAAGATCTATGAACTATGACATTATATACATCACATTATCAAGCCAAAAGCGATTACATGTTTAAGATACAAAAGATTTCAACAAAAACCTTATAAAATGTCAAAATTGTCAAGAAAACAAAAGATAAGGGCAAAAAGTGACATTTATGTTTTTATAAGGGCTAAACAGGTCCAACATGTATAAAAGGTATTTTTATGTTAAACATACTTTAAAAAGGGCCAAAAATGCAAATTTAAGCTTAATGGGCCAAAACTTTTGGGCCTCACAGTTTTGGGCCCAATTTACAAAAAAAAAATTAGGGTTAAAAATGTTATTTGGCCAAAGTTGGAGTCATAAATGTAAATAAAACAAATTTAGGGGTGAAAATAATATTTATTTTCAAATTGGACCAAAAATGTAAGATTTTCCAAAATTGGACCGAAAGTGTAAATTTTTACAAACAAGGGGTTGAAAATGCACTTTTCTGCAAAACAGGATTCTAAATGTGAAAATATAACTTTTTGGGCTAAAACCGTAAAATTTTATACATTTGGGACAAAATTGCAAATTTTTATAAATTATGGACTAAAGTGTCATTTTTACAAAACTTTGAGCCTTAATTAAAAAGTGAAGGATTATTGGCTCAAAACGTCGTTTTTACAAAAAGAGGATTTTTATCATCAATCTATTAAAAACTCGAGCTAAAAAAACAACAGAATAAAACAAATGAACAAAATACGTCGATAACTATTTATTAGGCCTAATATTCACGTTACTTGGTCATTGGGCCCTAAGGGCCAATTAAGTGTATATTGAGCCCAATGTTTTCCATGACATGTTTATTGGGCCTTGCGACCCACTTACATGTTAATTTGGGCCTAAGTTATAGATTACATGTTTATTAGGCTTTTGTGGCCCATTTACATGACCATTGGGCCTAAATTACCCTCTTACACGTTATTAGGCCTTTGTGGTCTAATTACATGCTAATTGGGCTTGGAATGGAATTTATATGCTAGTGGATCATAACTATACCGTTGCATAATCATTGAACCTAGTATACTTATATATGTACTTTTCGAATACCAAAACATATCACATATATGTAAACATTAAACATAGTACAAAGGGGTTGAGGATCTAGTGAGACATGTTGGTTGGCACCTCTGAGTGTACAATCGTAGCCTGTAGTTATAATCAGAGTTTCCTGGTAGGAAAGCGGGAGTTT